CAGTATAAAACTTGTAATGTACATTCAGAAATCTCTTCCAGGTAATTCTTCTACCTATTCTGAGATGATTAATGGATTTAAGAGTTTCTCTGCCCAAGATTCAGTAATAATTACTTTATGAAATTTAACTTGGATACTAATCAGGTAAAGTATTCTTCCTCAATAATATATACCTGGATTTGAGTGGATCTGAATATCTGCATATGCAAACTTATCCTCTCCTAAAAACTCAGCTTTGACATGTTAAAAAATGCACATATACCATCCCCCTAACTTGGTACATGCCATAAGTGACATAGCAAGGATTTTATCATACATTTCTATGAAAACAGAATTCAAGATCCTCTGGAGTTTTTCTTTTCTTCCTCATACAGAACTGTATGTGGAAGGAAAGGAAGAAAGATGTGGTACTACAAATCCTCCTGATGTGATCTGCTTCAAATTAACCATCTGCACAAAAAGATGGAGAACCAGAAAAATGACATAACTTCTTGGATTTTTTTTTTTTTTACCAGACTCTTCCAGGTTCTACTTCAGTGGGATTTAAAAGTAGTTAAAAGTAGATTTGTTATGCAGCACTGAAGTAGGGGAGGTCGGAGTAGATTGTAACACAGGATAAAATTTCTACTTTCAAAAAATATTTCAAACCTCTTGTTGCAGGTAGTTGATCATTGCTTACCTGTTGCCAGAACTGGGATCTAGACACTGAATGAAGATCCAACACTCTTTGGAGGATCCGAAGACACAGTCACTGGAGTCTCAAGACTGAGATCTTTGCTGTGGCTTCTTTATTTTGATTTTTTGCTTTATATGTGCAACTTCCAAGCCATCTGCCTGTTCTAACTCTATCTCATGAAGCTACTAGACAGCTGGCATGCAGAGTACATCTTATACAGACACAAAGCTCAACAAGTGTTTATGCAAGTTACCTGTGTCTAAGTATCAATAGGAGTAACTTGAGATATGTGCCAATTAAAAAAAAAAGTCTTTAAAGGAAACTTCAGAATATTCAGATTTCAGGTCCAAGGGGAAACAAGGGCATGACAGCAGCTAGCAACACCTAAAACCATCAAAACTTTGGAATAACAGATTATTGATCCAGCATTTACAGATTGCTGTTGCAAAGTAAAAGTTTCACCAAACCTCAGATCTTAGTCATCTCCAAATTTAGAAGAATTCACCTCTTAGTTTTGTCTTCATTTCAACGTCTGTTACAGTCTAAGTCCTACATGAGGTGATGTAATTGTTTCCTACCTTCCTTTGCCACAAAAAAATCAACACTACTGAAATAACAAGGTCACCAAGCTTTATGAGCTGCTGGGAGTAGACAGCAGTCTACTCTAAACTGCAACTTGTGAGAGTTTGTGCACTGACTCTGTAGTAGACTCAGCAGAGGCTGCACAAGAGAACCCAGGACATCCTCTGAAGCACTTAATATCTGCAAAACACAAGGCTATTTCCATGAGGCTTCCAATCACTGCATGCTAATGCAAGAAATTCCAAAAACACAGCAGAAAAAGTGACTCCTGTTGTAAGACACTAATATATATTCTAAATAGAAATCTACTTCTGAAGCTACTCATTGACAAAAAAAAAAAAAAAAAAAAAAAAGAAAGAGAGGGAACTCAATACCGGGGGAAAATGTAAGATGGAGAAAAACTCAATGCTACTGTAAACTGCAAGCCTTAGTCTCTTCTTGTTTGTACAGGTTAAAATTAAGAGCAACCAGAATGGAGTCAAACACTTTATAAAATGTAAAAAAAAAAAAAGGGGAGGAAGAATAAACTAACTTTTTTCTTAGTTTTGGTAAGAGGGACCATCCTAACTACTGGAAATTCTTACTATTGATAATGTTTGTTTTCTTTTTCAAGGTCTTTAAAGATTGTCTAAAAAAAATTACACCTAAGCTGTGTTCCATAGCAGATGAGTTCCACACTTTCTTCCAGAAAAGTGTAAAGAAATGTCAATCTCGGGAAACAGAGCACTAGAGAGATTTCTGATGTTTCTTTGGATGGTCTGATCTCCAGACTATATCTTTTGGTTACTTTGAAAGACATCTCCTCAAAAGTGTTCATCAAGTGGAAACACACAAAAATAATCTGTCCATTTACAAACACTCAACTATTTATATACAGAAAGTATTTCTCTCAACTATAGATGAAAACACTTTCAAGCTGACTGTGTTCTGCTCAGATTCAAGTGTAAGATGCAATAGTGTCCTATCTAAAACAAGTAAACTGGACATGAGGGCATACAGGACTGTAAATGTTACTCACCCTGTCTTACACAGCACAGTAACAGCTGTGTACAGTGTACAGCTATGTATAGAAATCAGTAAAAAAAGCATCATAAAACATGATAAAAAGAAAACTTTTTGTTAAAGTGAAATCAAAGACAGTGGAGCAATGAAGACGCTATCAAGTGAGTAACCCACTAAACACTACCTAGAACTGTCCAGCAGGTCACCTACAGGAATCTCAGATGTTAGACCATCTCTTCATTAGCTTTCTCATGCTTTCCAACAGGTGACAAAGACCAGCAGTCATACTAGTAAGTACAAAGTCACTAGTGAGTAAAGACCAGCAGAAGCACACTTCAAAACTGAAGTTAAAAAAAAGCCAGCTTCCACACTGATCGTAAGAGAAAACTGAGATCTCCAAGTGTCTGAACTTCAGAATGTACAAGGGACACTACCAAAGGGTTGAGGGAGGTTATTCTTCTTTAGTCAGCACTGGTGAAACCATGCTTTGAGACCCATGTCCGGTGCTGGTTTCCTCACTACAAGAGATATGAACATAGTGGATAGCATCCAACCAAGAAGATGATGAAGGGACAGGAACATGTCTCCTATGAGGATAGATTTAGAGAGCTGAGACTGTTCAGACTGGAGAACAGAAGGCTCAAGGGGATCTTATCAAAGTATATAAATACCTGAAGGAAGGGTGCAAAGCTAATAAAGTCTCCTAATGTGCCCTTGGTCACAATTAAGAACTCCCTCTGGCTACAAGTGAAACATGTGGGAGCTTTGCCAGAATGCAACTGGAGTGGGTTCAGGGCCTTTACACAGCCTCTCTGTGTGTTCCTCCACCCTGGTGTTATGTAAGAAACTGAGCTAAATTGTAAATATTACACAACCTTGAAAAGGGAAGGGCCTAGTAAAATATCTGCATGACTCTTTCACAGTGACTCACCCCTTCATTTACACTTTTACTTATCATTCCCACTTAAAAGTATAAAGATATGCCTGAACTGGTCTTTTCTGCTTGAACTTTTTGTCTTTCACACATGCTCCAGACACAGTGAGATATTTCATCAGCATAAACAGGACATCACATAGTGCCTAGGGACAGACATTTTAGCATGGACTGTTGCAATAGGACATGGGGTAATGGTTTTAAACTAAAAGAGGGGAGATTTAGACCAGAGATAAGGAAGAAATGTTGCCCAGAAAAGTGGTAGTGGTAGATGTCCCATCCCTGGAAACATTCAAAGGCCGAGTTGGATGGGGCTCTGAGCAACCTGATCTAGTTGAAGATGTCCCTGCTTATTGCAGAGGGGATTGGACTAGATGGCCTTTAAAGGTCCTTTCCAACCCAAAGTATTCTATGATTCTAAGCAGGACAACAGTGCCAGGAAGAACACCACAGTCTTCCCCCAACTGTGCTACAGCCATTCCTGCACTGCACTTCCAGTACCCAAAGCCTCACACACCCCTCATGCTGTTCTTGCTGTGGATCAAAGTCCCATACTCCTAAACCAAGGTAGAAAAATTACCCAGGGATTATCATTATCCAACAAAAGAAGCAGCAGTAGTGTTCCAGCTTGATTGGTAACTACAGGTAGGTCAGATGGGAGTAGAAAAACAACTGAGTTAAGCTTTTGCCTACACATTCTATAAGCATTAAAGCCTTTGAAAAACTCAGGCTATGCAAGTGCCATTAATGATTCACCAAGCTATACAGAGGCAGCTTCCCTTAAGTGAGATTAATTCCCAGATTTACAGCACAAAATTTACCCTGGGTGAAATTTTGTGGGGGTTCTCCTGTGATTCCTGGCTCAGCATATAGATAAATAAGTTAACAAAACAAAATAAAACACCCTACAAACCCAAAGAGTTGGACCTGGTTGTGCCCTCTGAATTTTGGGTAGCAGTAAAACCTCCCGGTTTTTCCACAGCACTAGGTATAACTCAGTGGGGACAAAGAAAAGAATCAAACATGAATGTTTATCTCAATGATCTTTTTGAAGAAGAACATCCAATTCAGGCAATCTGAAAGCCTTTATTCCCCTTGGAAGGAAAAGGCTGTCACTAATATTCTCTTCTAAAAACTCTGCTTTTGTAACAATACAGTCAGTCAGTTCAGTAGCACATCCTAGGTCTCTGTACTGTGTACTCCTGAAGAACTTCAGGTACATTTATATAAAATTTCATTTTATTTCTGTCTATCTCCAGAGGCCTCAGTTCCCATTCTAGACCAACTGAGTAGAGTAAGTAATAATCTAAATGTTGTATGACTATTGGTGTATCACAATACAAAAATACAGCAGGAAATAATTTTAGAAACTTCTTTTTTAAACTTGATGTTTACCTAATTTTGGAAAAGGCAGTCACAGAAAGAGTTTCTCATTGAAGAGGAAAGATGACAAAGTTCATTACAATTTGTGTTCATTCTTCATTAAGGTCTACAAATACATCTAAAACTTCTTTTATGAAACAATTATCGACATCACATGGATTTTATTCATTTATTTATTATTGGTTTTCACTTATAGAAGACTTCAAAAAAAGTTCCTATTATCACTTTCTCAACAGTGGAGAAAATTAAATATGTATCAAGTACTGTCATACCTAATAATCATGCCATTTCACATTCATTAGTACCCTCATAAATGAAACATAAGCTCTTCTAGAGAGAATTTTCACCTTGAAAGAAATAAAGACCATTTGCTTACCAAATACAAATAAAAGGGAAAGTACAGAAAAGAACAGTATTTCTTACCATTGTAAGGGTAAATGGATGGCTTTCCAGGGCAGATACTCTTGGACAGTGTAGAATGACATACTGAAATAAAATAACAGAAAAGATACTTTCAGAACATCCAGTGATTGGCTAGTGTTTATAAATCAATAGTCATCCCTATAGACAACGCTACAGGAAACCAGTGCTTTTTTAGGGGCACATTAACTCACCTGACCAGGCCTTGCTTCAAAGTCATCTTTCATCATCCTTACTTCAAGGACATTGGAGGGATGGCTTATTACCGAAGTTATTGTGACTGGTTTATTGCTGCGGATGTAGCGGTACAGCCTTTCCACACAGTACAAGCACAGGGGTCCAGAAATCCAAAACCAGGTCTATGGGAGAAAAAAAATAGGTCACCTCAAGGAGTTTTAACTACATGAGTACTTGCAGGACCTCATTTCACATCTAGCCTTCAAATCTCTCTACATGCAAAAATTCAAGTATGTCCTGAAGCCTTAATCAGTCTAACCAGCAGCATCATCTACAAGCACAAGGAATTTCAATCATAAAACTCATCAAGAATAAAATGCTAATGACCTCAATTGCTACCACATTATTCTGGTTTTATGTAGTTAGATTGCAACTGGTTTCAGCAGCCAAAGACACAATACATAAATGGTTTCAAAATGTAATAGATCAGAGTACTGTATAATCGTTTAACCTTTAAGGAAAAACACTGTTTGTCTTGTAATATTACTTGACTATTATCTTACAATAATCTCAGTAAAAACCAAAGAAAGATTCATTCTTGTTCCATAGAATTTATGTTTATGTTAAACTAGTGTAAAATCATAGATAACAGAGAGGAATGGGCACTTCTGAATCACAAGTTATTTGCCCTCATGGAATATATGTATGCTAGACAGAAGATGTCCTGGAAATGCCCATTTCTCTGCAGTGATTATTCAGGGAGCCCAGGGAGCCCTGGGTGACTACTCCAGATGGAAACATTTGCAGCTGCTCAGCTAAATCTCATCCTAAGAGTCAATTACCAATACCTTATGGTAGACTTAACTACTAATTCTACATCTGCTCAGTCACTCAAGCTATGGCATTGAAGTGCCCTTGATCCTCACCCATCTTTCTTTCTCAATTTTTGAAGTTACATATCAGCCTCTCTTGCAACTAGTGGAGATTAATTAATTTCCACAAAAAAGCCTTAAAAGTTTCAGTAGCTCACAGAACCTTTTTTTTTTTTTAATCTTGATATCACAATACTTCCAAACCCAAAAAAGCCCTAAATAGTGTTACAAAGCTGCCAGGAGAACACTGAGTGGCCATCTCTTTCCATGACTCTTCTCCCATAATTGGCTCTAAAGCAGGTATCTTAAGTCCCTAAGACTCTTTACTGTCCTCTGGGTCATATGGAGCCAGCTATACACTGATGCTTGTAATTCAGGAGTATCACCACAACAAAATACCAATCCAAAGAACTTTGTTGGAGGAATTCAATGTAGAATTAACTGTTTCTTATTATGACTTCATGCCCCATAGAAAAATGGGTTCCCACTACAGCTCGTAAGGGACATACGTGTTCAAGAGAAAACAAGGATAATAACAAACTCCTGTGAGGTCTGTTATGGGACCATCTTGAATGGTGGGCCTTGGACTTGTGAACTCCATATTCGCAAGCTTCCTCAGGCTACTTACCAATACAGCCCAACTCATCTTTTCTCAAAAGAAAAGAGAAAATTTGGATGAAGAAAAAGCTGCTTCCACAAAACATAAAGAAACAAAAGGAAAATGGAAAACAGAAAAAGAAAAGGCTTTTCTATCCCTGCTGTCATCATACTCGTTTACCCATGCCACACATAAAACAAGCCTTTCTGCAAACAACAGGCCATAAAAGCCAAACCACAACCAATTGCAAACCAGAAATGAGTATTAGGACTTGCATCTGCATGGTAAAAAAGAGAACAAATGGAGCTTGATTATTTCAACTAACTACTGTCACACAAAGCTTACAAAGGGACCTTATGAAATGTTACATAAATGTTTGCTCTGAAGTGCTACGCTGTAATTTAAAGTCACATTTATAGCAGGACCAATACTTCTCTTATCATGTTGTACAAAAAATATTACAGCTGACCTCTTGACATTTTTCCACCCTCCCTATTCTATGCATCACATTGTAATGCAGCTCAGGGTTTAATACAGATTGATTTTTCCACACCAAATCTTTGAATGCCTCAAAAGGTTTTAATAATATTTTCCATTATTAAAACATCTGGTCTGGAAAAGCAATAATTAGTGCTTATGGCTGACTGAAAGACTTGGCAAGGCTTATAATACCTGAAATGTCGGATCATACAGACCTCTGGGAAGTGTGACTGGAACTTGGGTTCCTCGGAACAAATTCTCATAAAGTGATTTTGTACAAAGGGTTCTGGTACTGGGAAGTCCTCTGGGAAAGGCTCAGTAGCATAGTCAGGAAACAGCTCTTCAAAAGCCTTTGGCACAGTCAGATTCTGTCGGAGCGTTTTGTTAGGATTAAAGCAACCAGGAGGGTGTTCCTCTAAGTTCGTCTGGTACTTGAGCACTCCCCTACATGAAAGCAAGAACAGTAAAGACACTGAAGTAAGAAACAAACAACTTATCTTAATTCAGAGAGGGCTTTAGAGAGTAGTCATAAGCCTCATCTTCTGTTAGAATTTTTATTCCATTTGTTTGCAGGACTTTCAATGAGATTGAAGATTTGCAACAATAGAGCCTCCTGTCACTAGAGGCAAGGTTTAACTTTTCCAGCTCACTTGGCACTCCCACACTGAACAGCCTCAAGCTTATTGCTGCTTGAAAGAGGGAAAACATTGTGGGAACTTTGCAAAAAAAGTAAGTAATCACATTTCCAATTCAATCTCACACTGGCAGGCTGTTTTCACTCATCCTCCCTACAGTCAGCAAGCCCTGTTTCTAAGGGAGTCTTGTAGCAGAAGGGGCCTAAGTTGCCAAATCATAAATGGCAGGAATGTTCCTACTACTTTGTGTTTATCAGGTTTGCACACAATTCTATGGTTTCCTCCTTTGGATATAATCTTGTCAGATAAAAGGAAAAAAGAAAGTCCTGCATGATAGCCAAGGAACCTTCCTTGCAAATTGTTTTGTGGTTTTGATGGTTTTGGGGTTTTTTTTTTGAGCTAAGCTAAATTTGTAGTAAAATGAAGTAAGAACTTTGCAGCTGCAGTTAGAAACTGAAGAAAGAATTGGAAACCTGAGACACTCTAGGATATCTCAGCACATGAATGAATCATTGGAAACAGGGAAGAAAAGATAACAGTAGTAGTAAAATTCCTCAGAAGCACTACTTGTCTCTGAATCTGTATTTGATGACAGTAAATCTACAAGCGGGAATATTTAAAAAAAAAACAAAAAACAACAAACAACAACAACAACAGCGAAAAAATAAAAGAAAAACCAACCATCAACCAAATAAAAGGCTGAATGACACCTCTATAGGATGGTGCTGGGTTGGAAATGAGGCATATTGAGGCAACGTCTGGTGAGACATGCCCGCTGAGTACTAGACCATGTTGTGAAGGCTTATCTTAAGTATGCAATCAAACATAAGGACATAGACTCCCTCCTCCTCTCCTTAACACACAGCAGCAGTAGAAATAGAATTTAGTTCACAAGAAGAGAGAGAACTAGGACATCTGCAATACTCCCAACTTAAGTGGGCTCTGACAAGCTACTGGCAATCTTCCCTACAAAAATGCAATCCTGACAGCCAGTAACAAGCTTCCCACGTGGTCCAGTGAACAATGTCAGCTTGGACATTAAACCTCCTCACTCTAAATGCCACATCTGACCCTGGGAGAATCATTTGGGAAGTGTCCTTGCACCTACACCCATGCTTCTGCCTGCATTTACTGCTTGCATCTGCCATCACTGCTGGTCATCACATATTTGCAAAGTGGCAGATACCACTGGCATTACGTTAGTTCCCTGCTTCATAAATATTATAGTGCCTCATGGATTCAACTGGAAGTCAAAGCCCATGCAATATTTTTCCAGTCAACCTTGTGTGCAAGCCTGTCAGCAGCTCCCACAGCTTCTCTGTTCTCAGAACATCCAAAAGAGGATTTCCTTGAGACATAAATAGCTCTAAACATGAGAATACCTTCCAGTGATCTCTAGTTTGGTCAAACTATTACAAACATGCTGAGTGGCAAACAGTGATGACAAAGCTGTCTGTTAACAGCAGCTGCAACTACTCCCATTTCTGAAGTTGTCAAGGAAAGGCAAGTCTTACACACCCAAGATCACTTCCCAGAAAGGTTGAGTTCTGCACAATTCTTAAGAAATCCAAGATATATCCTCATGTATTTATTAGACGCAACACTTGAATATATAAAAACTCAGTATGAATGTCAAGAAGTAGGAGATAGACACCTTTAGCAAACAAAAATGGGTGAGACAAAATGAGAAAGTAATGTAAAAGTGTGCTACAGGCTGACCAGCACACTATGGAGAATCTGCAAGACTCTCAAGCTCTGCTCCAATTTTCCATGCCCAAAATAGAGACAAAATTCACTTCTGGCTGGAGCTGGAAAATAGAAATATCACTATTTCTTAAGATTTTAAAGCTTATAAACTAGACATCAATGATTCCAAATGTTTTTATTGGGAATTGCACTGCTCCTATCTCCTCATCCATCTTCTGCTGCTTAGCTCAAGGTAAGTTGCTTGAGGGGTCTGCTAAAGGTCAGTGTGTGGGTGGACTCATAAGAATTTTCACCCTTTGGAAGAAAAATCTTTGAATAACTCTAGTGAGAGCACAAAGGCCTTATTGTCAGCCTCTATAGACCACAGTAATACCACAGTAACACCAAATTTGGATCAGCTGGGAACCTGGCTCCAAAGATTTTGTATGTTTTATAGCTCCTTACACTGGTACTAGAAACATCAAGCATCTGTTTTACATAAACTAATTTTTGTTGCTGCTACTACTGACCTAAAATATAGATAAATGATTGTAGATATGCACCAAGTCTTAAGCCACTAAAACCTTTCAAAGTCATATTGCAAGAAGTATCCACAACAGTTTAAGCAAGACAAGAATCCAGCAATATCGTGGAAATACAGGCAAAACCTCACTCAAACTGTCTGCACAGTTCAGCCACAGAAGATGCCTTGTTCTGTAGTGCAACTGGCCACGAGTCCACAGCTCTCCAAGACATGCCACTCAGGAGTAATTTGGGTGCAGATATCTAAGTTTCCTTCACTCTTAGAAGAGATGATCAAATTATTTAGGTTGGAAAAGACCTTTAAGATCATTGAGTCCAACCATTAACCCAGCACTGCTGTGTTCACCACTAAACCATGTCCCTAAGCACCACATCTACAAGTCTTTTAAATACCTCCAGGAGTGGTGACTCCACTACTTCCCTGAGTAGCCTGTTTTAAAGCATCTTCTTTTGGTGAAGAAAGTTTTCCTAATATCCAATCCTAATCAGCCCTCATACAACTTGTGGCCACTTTCTCTTGATCTTACTGTTATCACTAATAGAGCCTATAAATCAATCCAGGTCACTTGAATCTTTGTAACAGCAAGTTAGTTGAAGTATCCTTCGGGCTTCATTGACTGTATTTATCAGAACTCATTAAACCATAATGGGAGAAAGACACTTAGAAAATATGGGGAGACACACATTTAGGCATCTTGAACTGACTCCCACTCTCCATGACTCATTCCCCTCCCATTTTTAACTGACACTCAGTTCTTTTAGATTTGCACTGAATGCCTCTGTAATTCAGTACTAAGGAGGCTGTGTACCAGAAGATGTCTGTTCAATGTTTGGTGTATTACTACAGTCTTGGGTTGCAAACTTGGTAAATGGAACATGGTTAGGAATACAGTGGGCAAAGGATAATGCAGTGAAGGAGATTAATTAAATGGGACATGAAAAATATCCCAAAGGCAATAACTGGAACAGATTACCTAGGGAGATTAGAGGATCTCAGTCACCAGATGTTTTAAAGAAGTTAGAAAAACACCTGTCAAGAATAATTTAGAAAAAGTCCATCCTGCCCCAGGATGAGGAGAACACATTATATCTGTCTTCTCCCAGCTATGAAAAGAGCTATGCCCCAGAAAAAAGAAACAGAAAAGCCCCCAAACAAACAGAAACAAACAAAAAACAAAACACACACACACAAACACACACAAAACCAAAAACAAACAAAAAAACCAACCCACAAGCAAAAAAAAAAAAAAAACCAAACTCACAGAGTACAGGAATTGTGTCCAGGAGTTTCAATTGTTTATTTCATTATTTATTTATTTCATTCATTCATTCATTCATTATTTATTTCATTATTTCAATTCACCAGATCTCAGGTTGCATGTTTCTGTTCAACAACATATTCCTCCCATGACCTTGCCAGGCCTAGTTACCTTTCCATGTTTACTTTAAGCAGCGGTGCTCAGTGTCACACAGTAAAGCACTCTGTGTTTCAGTAGATATTTGATGACATGGAGAAATACACCTCATTCAAATACACCTTCCCTTCTTTATACCAATCTCTGCATCTACATCCATAGAGGAAATATCACGGACATTAATGGCCCAGATTTTCATAGAATCATAGAATAGTTAGGGTTGGAAAGGACCTTTAAGGGTCATCTAGTTCAATCCCCAACCCATGCAGACATAGGTTGTAACTCGTGGAAGCTGCTTTAACTCGCAATAGAGATGGGCTTGTTTGTGCCTGATACAGTCCTGACCTTCAGCACATTAATACTGGTCTGATGTTTGTGAAAACAAGAAGAAAAACTTGCAAATGTTGTATCACACCAGTGAGAAAGAGTTAATTAGGGAGAAGTCATTCCTTCCCTCTCCTTAGGAGTCAAAATGAAAGGTAGAGAGGAAAATGCAAGAGATGAACAACTTTACTTCACATTCTTCTCTCACTAAACAGGTAGGAGGGGGTAGAGAAAGAAACTATGTTCTCTTGATTTCTCACTAGACACTGGAAAAATGGACAAGGAATAATATTGAAAGTGAAGAAATTTTTTCTAGTTGGCTGTAGTACATACAATACTTCAAGCTACAGTCTGATATTTATTTAAACAAACATCTGTTGAAAAACCATATAGGACAGCAAAGGTGGCCCAAAGTTGGCCCGCTGTGCACAAGCAAGCTCAGGAAAGGCAGCAATCAAGAAAACTGCTCTTTCTGGTTGTGCTTCAGGAAAAGGGACAGTGTTTTCCATTTACTTACCCAGAAACGTGCAGCATCAGCAGCATATAGAAGACAAAGAAAAGGTTGTGTGTATACCAGAAGATGTCATAGTTTGAAACCCTGAAAAGAATAAACCACGGTTCAGTGCTGTTTCAACTTAGATGGAATCACTGCAAATTAAAAACAGACCTGTGCACACAGGACATCATTATATGCTACATAGTCATGTAGAAGAGTCAAAGCCCAGCATGTTTTCCTACAGGCACACCGTTCTTGCACGCAATTAAGTGTTGAGAAGAACAAGTGACTGGCACAGAAGTAACAAGCTGACAAAGAGAGATAGGGATGTAGAAGTACAGAGACAGCTGAAGAACTCTTCTGAAATTAGGAGACTTCACTGCTTTCATAGGTCCTAGTTAGTATCTATGAAACTCTCATAGCTAGAATAGTTCCTCCATCTGCAGTTTCAAAACTCAACCCCTTTACAGTGAGCATCACCTTGCATTCTGCCTGCCCCAATACAATTTAATGTTTCACTAAGGTTACAACACATAAACAGGTAGCATGGACAGCAGCAGAAGGGCTAGTGGGAAGGGTAAAAAATTTGTGAGGGTATAGAGTGTAAGGAGATACAGGAGGAACAGGAACTAGAGCAAGAATGCAACAAGAGCACAGGTAGGAGAATTTTCAGTACAGGAAGCCACATACAGTATGGCTCTAGGACTGATGGTCTTGGGAGGGACAAGAAGAACATTACACTGTGAGAGCAGGAGAGGTGAAGGGAAAAGAACACTTCCTTTCATCAGTAATTTGTTACGCAAAATGAAAAGAACCAAGACCAAAGAAAATATCCACCCAGAACTGTTTTCTGTTAAGCTTGTTTGATTTTTGCTCGAGTAAAATAGTTACCAACAAACAACAACAAACAAATGGTTAAGAAAATACACTACTTCACAGCACACAAACACACCTTTCACACTACACAGTATGGTAGGAGAATCCCTTCCAAAACCAAAACCTACTCCCATTCATAAGCCAAACCAATTATTAAATAAAAAAACAACTTTAACACTGAGAACATGATTTGAGAAGCTATTCCTTTGGCACAGCTAAATTATTTTTTTTTCAGAATTTTTCCTCTCCTATGGTCTTCTACATAACCAGTTAACTGCTCTTGCTTCAATATAATTGACACATATACTGCATCTGTGACTGTCAATACAGGACTTATTTGTTTTCTTTTTCAAGAAAAAAATAATTTTGATAATCTGAGGGCTACCAAAATAAAATCCAAGCAAGTGAAGAAACAAGGAATGAAGCAAAGGAGGAACAAAGGAGCAAAGTAAGGTACCTAGCAACAGCAAGGGGTTCTGAAACCTCCCTTCCACCCTGACATCCTTCCCCCAGTCAGCACTATGTTAACACTTTTTCCTCCTTGAAGCTGCTCAAACCATTTCTAACTCCTCATACCCTGGTAGGCATTTCCATGCAGTCACTCATCATCTCAACTGGAAGGCACAAAAAGCAAAATTTACCCTCAGTCCTGAAACAGGTCATAGAATCCTAGAATGGCTTGGGTTAGAAGGTACCTTAAAGATCACCTAGTTCCTTGCCCCATGCTATGGGCAGGGATGACAACAGAACTTGAAGCTCTGGTTTAAATTCATATTTTGCTATAATACCAAAAGCTGCACACTGAAAGAATTTTTATTGCATCTTGAGCACCTTTTTCAGAATGCACCAATTTTTCAAAAAGTCAATTCTTGGACTGCTTCTGACATATTGCTTTCAACAGCTAATTATTGTTACTGATTAAAGTTACCATACACTTCTTGTGCATGTCTTGAATACACCTAAATGTCAGTTTCTAGCCACTTAAGTATTTTATTTTTCTTTCAGCACTCCTACAGATAACTGTACTATAAAATCCTGTTCCTCACATGTATAAAATTCCCCTAAATGTAAGCAAGCCCTCTGAACTTCACCTCCTTAAATTAAGGGGATGTGAATCCTTGAACCTCTTACCATGAAACATATTTTCCAACATTACGATAATTATGTATTTCTTGTATCTTTAAACTGTGTATCCTATGGATATATGCAATATTCTAACATATTCAATAATCTTCCTATTGATACACATATATTTTTATAGTTCTTCAGAACATTTATTTTTTTTTCCTTCTAAGCTCAAAATAGACATTATTCACAGAACTAATGCATTTCTTAGGACTGCAAAGTACTGAAAATTTGAGGTAAGTTGAATATTTAGTTTTAGTTTTGGTTAACCTACTTTAGAATTTTGCAGGTGAAGACCTGCAATAGTTAACTCACTGAGAAATGTCCAGGGAGTTTGGCATGCTTTAAGGGGACACAGTAAGTAGTACAGTTTTGGAAAAATATTTTTAACCCTGTTACAGATAGTTTTGAAAAGGAAGATTTATGTGCTACTTTAGAAGATTAAATTGAAGATTGGAATATTTGGTTACAAAAATAGATGGCATTTGAGCACCTTATTTTTTAATGTTCTTTTAAATACATGATTTCCAAATAGTGAACAACATTAATTTGAAAGTTAGCAGAATTGTCAAAATTTATCGACAGAATTTATTGTGTTTTCTGATAACTTCATAACCCTTCTGATAAACAACTACTGAACCAAAAATATTGGCCTAATTCTCATGTGTGACAAGGCAAAAATTTAGAAATCGGTACGCACTTTCCCCTTTTAAAACATTAGCAGCTAATTCAATCCCAATACTTATTCACGCACTTTACTAAACAAGTAAAGGCAGGAAAATAGAGGGATAATCATGCATATAAAAATTTCAGGAGGAATATACAAAGGAAGAAATTATTAAGCAGGTCAGTGTGCAAGAGCAGATTAGGGCTGGAATCCAAGAGAATAATAGTCTCTGAAATACTTTTTGAAAAGCCTAGCTTCTGAGAGGCAGTGAATATTTGCAAATAATTTTCCTAAGACTATACAGTATGCTCACCCATCATAGGGTACATCAGAATATACAGGGAAAGAGATTAAACAGGGACAATGACATGCACTCAGAAGCTTGTTTCCTTAGGAAAACACACTATAAAGACAAGCTTGAGGTCTATGCTTGAGAGAGAAGCCAGGATAACATTTCTAAATAGGAACTATTGCTAAAGTAACTGGAAATGCAGATGATCTTTTCAGGGCTTTGATTCTTCTGGCTAGACAGCAGAGAGCTGGGAATGTATTTGCACTTACAGTAAATGTGGAAGGAAATAAAAAGCATGTAACTTCAAAAGATGTTGCATGAACCCCAAAATTATTTCCAAGAATATGTTTACAACCACCTATATTTTTATAAGTTTCCCAATAATTAATACATTATGTTCTCTCTTTTTTTTTTCTAATTTATTATGGCCTTGAAGAAAACAGGACTTTGTTCTGGCTCATTGCTACAGAGTGAAGTAATTGTGTTATTTTTCCATCTTCCCAAAACTGCTTTTCTTTTACAAGTAGAGCCATTTGTACGGACTATGTAGTGTGCAGCCATCCTGGCATCTCATGCAGCAGCCTAATCTTGCACTTCTGTAGCCTGCAGTGCCTCACAGAGGTCTCAACCCTGGAAGTAGTCTTGTCTACTGAAAATGCACAAATATTTGCTGAACTAATGTCCCAAATCACAGGATAATGTTGCCAGATAACATTTCTACTCAGGAAAGACAGATTAGTTCAACAAAGTTCAAAACCACATGTGTAACTCACATCAATGGAGCACCATTAATGTTTGAAGATACATAATTAATATATCCTACCATGTTGGCTGAAGTGAGATGATGCATTTACATGAGCAGTCTTTGAATTCAACCACTATAAAAATGACGGGGTTATTTTTACATGTTCACTTGCAGAATCCAAGCCTTAAGAAGACTGCAGCATTGTGCTAAACCCTCCAAGATACCAGTCACTCACAGTTACTATCATATGTGTTCAATAATGTTGGTACAGAATGTGAACCTACTGGAGAACTAAACCTTCAGAAATCCCATCAGCTGCTCTGAGTCAACACTGCATTGCTGTTTGGAATTGTAATTCACACTAAAGAGAATATATCTAACAACCAGAAGCAGAACTTTAAAAAGCAACATTCTACTTAAGTAGCATAATTTTGTGACAGTTTGTTTCATTGCAGGGGGGTTTTCTTGTTACTGTTTTTCTTACAGTTTGTTGTTACAATTAAGTGGTGAAAATAATTAGGATAAGGATACAATCTTATTTTACTTCCAGTGGACTTAATTTATGCATTGGATAAAACTTTCCATATGCTTAGTTTACTGCCTCCCTGTACAAACAGAAAAAAATAAAAAAAGTACTATTTGATAATTTGAAAGATCTACATTTTTAACTGGGTACATTCATCAAATAGTATTTTTCTCAGAAGGCAATTCAATCAAGTTTTGTAATTGTTTTAATGCGAAATTCACTGTGCTAATTTTACTGCAAGCTAGGGAAAAATAGGGTAAGAAAATTGGTATTTTTAACACTCTAATCAGTAGGAGAATATGATTACTGAAATGGCATTTTTCAGTATAATGATCAGATTATGTCTTACCTGATGGCAAACGTGGAAGCTGTACACATTAGGAATAATACTAACACCATAATGACTCCAGTCAGACCTGGAACTAAAAGGGACATAAGATAACTTACATTTGAACTGTGAAAAGGTATACTTGTCTACTGTGGTTTTCTAAGGAAGTGGAATTAGATATACAAATCATGATTTAATCAAACTCTTGCAAATACTTACCTCTTGAGCACAATTCATGTATCAAACTAGATAAGAAAGAAGAGTTGTTGTGTAATTTCCCACCTTCTCAGAGAAAACTACCTTCTCCCTTGTAATTCACCATGCATCAATAATTTTGTATTAGTCTTTGCTGCTGCAATCTTTTGCTCATGACATCTGTCTCTAAGCAGGTAACTAAGAACAAACACTATTTATTTGTAAGACTGACTGTACAAATTTCTTTATTTCTTTCTTATTCCAGAACCTAAACTCTGTTGATCATGACAATTAACAACCTGGTCAGGGACAGAATTTCAAGCAAATCAATTTCTATGCAAGCTGTCACTACAATTGTTTGCCAATCCATTTCATTCTGGAATGAGGAAGAGCCCAAAATTAATCTCCATGGCAAAGTATAATGCTTGAAATTGTTGACCACGGAGCAAGGTCTGTGAGAGTGATCTGCAGCCAGTATTTGAGAAGGGAAGGTTAAAAATATTGACAATTGGACTTATTTGTTCAAATGCAGACTCTTATCAGAACTAGTTTATCCTCAGCCCTTTTAAGTCAAAGGAGAGAAACAAGTATTTCTACAGCATGGTATGTTGGATCAAGCTCTCAGGCACATGGTGTGATTCTTGAGGTGTCCTGCACAGGGCCAGGAGTTGGACTCAATGATCCTGATGGGTGCCTTCCAACTCAACATATTCTATGACCCCATCCTAAAGCAGAATCCTGCCCATAAAGTACAGTAAATCATCAACCTAAAGACAGATTAGAAGATAACAGTTAGTACATTTTCTGAGCATCTTATCTTCAAAATTGCCATCCCAGTAATTAAGAATATGAATTAAGAATTAGGATCCTAAAATCTGTGAAAGATTACATCAATACCTTTTATTGGTTAGTATTTATGTGTAATTTCTGGTCACCTTAAAAGCCACATATTTGGGTTTAAACAAAGTCAGTCAGGTCAATCATCAAGCAGAAATCTAAATAAATGCTGACTTAGTGTCAAAATACAAATGTCTCAACCAGCTTTTATGGATGTAAATGGCAAAACCACATACTGTAATGGTACATGATCTTTTACAGGATCACATCCCAATGACAAGAGTAAGCTTATTTTTTAATAATTGATTGCGATTTTAGACTCTTTAGCAATAAAGAGACAATCTCAAATCTTATCTTTTTATAAACTTCTCAATATCCACTCATTAAAAAGTCTTATACCCAAAATCTGATACATTCCAAATCACTCCTCAATTTTATAAACTTTAGGAAAAATCTCATCCCTACAACCAATGGAAGTTTCCTCATGGACCGCATAAAAAACTTAATTTCACTCCTTCATGGAAAGATTACAATTAAAAGCAGTTGCAATAAAAAGAAAAATACATTCTATCCACTGCTGCCTTCTTCATTTCTTCTTTCTTAACCTAATTTGATGTGTAGCGTGCAATGAATCTCCCCTCTGACACAAATACTTCCAATGCAATTGCAGTACAGCACTTAATCCAGCTTTCTATGCTGTCACTTCAGCTACAGGTCACCTATTACATTGAGTTTTTAATTCTCTTTCCTTCAAACTGAAATCACTCACAATCTTGCCCCCCCTTATCAGTTCATTTTTAGTGTTTCCTCTCTGCCCTGTTCCAATCTCTCTTTTCCTTCACTATGTTATTGAATACTTGTTACTCCCACAGTTTGTCTCCCACCCTTATGCAAGGAGGTTCTTTCCTAAACCGATCTGAAAAGCCATCACAATATAAATCCTTCTGTTTCCTTATTCCTTGTGTTTGCTGTTCTGAACTGTCTGGGAAGAAACCAGAGTTTTTTCCATATGTGCACATTTCCAATAGCAGCAAAATCTTGGTCCCTGTCTGGGTATTCCTTCAGCACAAATAAGTGATAATTACTAGTTGTTAGGATCTGGAGTGATCTGAGTAATTTTAAACTTAAAGATGATTTAGAATCACTGCTTTTGCAACTATCTGCTCAAATTTTTAAAAATGCACTATTTTCCTGGCTGACCGAGAGTAAAAGGAGTTCCACCTCTCAGCTAGAGAGGTCTCAAAGTATCCCCACAAGCCAGGACAAAATATGATTGGGCCTCTCACTGCTTCTTTATACCAAGTCCTTCTCCCTTATACACGATATTGAATATAATCCTCAGTTGCTTGGTTTGTTTCTCCCCCCTCTCATCTTTAACGCCCTCCTGTCAGTTACCCTCATTCAAGCCTCCACAACTGATTCACTAACTACACCATTTACCTGACCTGCTTCCAGTTAGCAGTTAACTTTTACCTCAATTTCTATTATTTCACTTTGTCCCTCCCTCTGCTCTCAACTGATCTAAACCTTCCCTAGGGTTTTTGGAAAGCACTGTTGTGCAAGTTGCTAATTCTAGTACATCTGTTGGGATTGACAAATCTAGAACCCCATCCATTGCTGTCTATTCAGATTCCTTTGGACCATGCCCTAAAAGTTACAAAGTTGGGGTTTTATTGTTTGATCTAAATAAGGGTGGAAGTGTGATGGCATCAGGAAGGACGTTTACCTGCTTGTGACGCACAACAGCTCAGGCTTGTGTCTACCCCTCCATATTCAAACATTGCTCCTTTCTAAATTCCTGCACCAAAAATGTCTTGTCTTTTTATTCTTTATGAGTGCTGAAGTCTGATTCCCATGTAACAGTTTAGATTGCTCTGAAGCCAAACCAACCCTTAAATAAAACAGCTGAAGCAAGAAGACCGCTCTACCGTTATGTTTTTTTTCTTGAAATTGGATCATTTAGGAATTTGGTTTTAATATTATGCAGAATCTCTGTTTGAAACTAATGATTATCTGCTGACTCATCTGTACAATAACAGCTTTGAAGATGCTGCTCAAGCTACTATGGGGCTTATGTAACTCCTTCCTCCTGACTATTGGATAAGCAAACCCAGGTTATATTAACACAAATAAATCAAGCTAGCTGAAATACAACAAATGGAGCATGTGAACAGAGGATCAAAAATTTTGTCTGGAAAGTAATAATGAGAAGCAGCAAACTTTCTCATTCAGTTTTGCAACAGACTTACCAGTTGCAAAAAGTAGTTTCCTTGGGTCCTGAAAAACAGACAAGCAGAAAAAAAAAATCAACATATGGGATTTCATACCTATATGAATAACATGGTAATAATAAGTAGTTCATAAAGCTCATGCACATTAAGACATAAGTAATTCCTAAACCTGGACGCAGGAATGAATTTGGTAGTAGTTTACATTGACTGTAATTCAACATAAACTAAATCTTTAACCTTTGCATTTCCCCAGTGAAGAAAATTCTTATCTGTTATTAAAAACTGGGATTCAGATAATTACAGACAATTATTTTTGAAAGCTTTACTCAATTACCTCATCCCTTTGGGGGGACAAAGGGAAGTAGAAGAGGGAGAGAATTTGAATTTAAATGTAAGACAAGAGGCAAGCATTTTACTGCCAGCTACATCACCAAGAGATTTGCAGGGGACTCTAGTGAAGCAAGACTGAACACAAAGGACACAGATGTTCCTGTGTCCTTCACAACATGTGAAAGGACGAGGGGATATGTCAGCCTCACAGGAAACTGCCTCACTCCCCCGAGTCCTATATTTCGGATGTTTTGTCTTCATTGTGGAGAAAACTTTATTATTATTATTATTGTTGTTGTTGTTATCGTTATTATTATTAAACTTGCGGCAAAATGCAGTGAGAGGAGGTTAGCTATTATTATTATTATTATCATTATTACTATTATTATTATTAAACTTGCGGTAAAATGCAGTGAGGGGAGGTTAGCAGTTTTCCTACAGGTCAGGAAAAATGAAGTATCCTCTCTCTGACCTCGTCCTTGTCTCTGATCAGATGCGCATACACTTGCAGAGAACATGACAGTAGCATCCAGACTGCCCACCACAGTTAAAAAATGGGTTTAAGTGGAATTCAAGTACAAAGGTTCAAAAGCTACCAAAATACCTAGAATCCAGAAAGTTTGATCCTAGAGTTCCTAAAAACTTGCTATAATCTCCATTTTCTGTTGCCAAATTCCTAAGACTGCTTAGTAGAGGCTGCCATGCACACCCTGGCATGTTCTTGCCTGAGGCAGGCTTCTGATAATGTTCCTGATGAGGCTAAGCCTATAAGACCACTCCTAACACAAGCAGACACTCAGTTCAACTCAGAAGCTCAGCACAATAGTTGGTGTTGGCATGTCTGTCTGCCATAGAATAGCTCCATGATTAGATCATTCACCCTGGGATTGCAAGACCTTGGTTGTTGGTCCTTATGAGCCTGGGTTGAGTCAAGCTCTCTTTTTCTGGGAAAGGATGCAGCTGGGATAGGGTCATTGCAAATATTTCCTAATGAAGCTGGTAGAAAAGAAATGCAGACTTGAGACTAGAATGAATATAAACAAGAAGGAACTTGATTGTAGCCCAAAGAAGAAAGAGCCCTGGAGTCTAGTCTTGCTTCTTAAATCTGCAAATACCTTTCCAGTGCCAAATACAGAAGCAAGCACCTGGACTAGGAATCTGGTATTGCTGCAAGAAATCTGCACCAAAGTAAAAGAAAGTAAACAAATCAAGTATTTTGCAACTAGAAATCAACTTCCAGCCCAGTTCATGTAGACAACTAATTCTACTCTTAGCATATATACTCACTGCAGTTCAAAAATGCAAAATCCATTTCAAATCTCACTACATTCTAAATAGTGGAAATGAGGAATGTATTTTCCCAAAAAGCAGTAGAAATGTCTCAATCTGGCCCACTCAAGGAACAGAGAGAAGCAGAAAAGAAGCAGGAGAACAAGGTGCAAGGTGAAAGAATTTGATGACTGCATTCTCCATCTCATAATCAAATAGGAATGAACCCTGGTGTATTAAACAAAAAGTGCTTAATACATGCTTTGTCCAGAGAAAGAAGTAAAATCCACAGCAACCCACATGACACAAGTTTTCAGTGCATGAAACAGAAGCACTATATAGATCATAGCATGGATCATATAATGCAACTGAACATGAAAATAATCATATATTTAAATTATATGCTTAAAAGCGAAATATGAAAGGACAGCTGGCTCACCTCACCACGATAGTTTGCTGCATTTAGGGCCAGAAATTCTTCATTGTAGTTCTCAGAGAAGTTAAGAGCATTCACCAGATGAGCAGCAACATGTAAGACTAAGAAAAAAAAACTGAGTAAAGGTGAGGTCTGTAAATAAGATATGGATGTTCCCCTGAAGTGGCCACCCAGATGCCAAGCTGTATCACATCACCTGCATGAGGTACATCAGGGACTAAGGGATTCTTTTTCTAAATCAGTTTATAAATATTCATGACAGAAAGATGTATGTATTTTAAGTTTTTTTTTAACTCTGTAGCAATGATTTCCATGGTACAATGCTTAAGCTGAGAGGTAACATTCAAAAGTGTCCAGCCAAGAATATTTCTTCTTCACCAAATTGGGTAGTTGTCTCCACTGTTGCCTTCCCTGCAGTTAAGCCTGTAGTACCCTGCTTCTTCACCCTAATCCCTTAGGCACAAAGGGATAATGGCATATTTTGACCTGATCTCATATACCTATCCTTCTAGAAATTGGAATTTTAAGGAAAGGTTCAGCATTAGAATGTATAGCCATGTGTTTAAAGCAAAAATGAACCAAAACCCTCACATATCCGAGAAAGCATTTACAATTTAAGACAGGTAAGCACAGAGCAAGACTATCCCCAAACGTACTGTAGAAGAAAAACCACGAAGTACTGCTTCAATGTGCTTCCCAATCACGCTGCTACTCAGCACAAAAAGATCTCACCTGAAAAGATGCATATTGTAACACCACATGTCACATGGAAAGTTTTACTTTTGTCTAGCAGCCTTCTGGTTTTCTTGCTGGCAACCTAGTAAGAGAAGAATTCAAGCAATCTCTTCTAAAACAAAGCAAAGAAAAAGAATACTAACAGCAACTGCTGCGATATAATAGCAACTTCAGCTTTTACTAGGTTTAACAGTCTTGCAAGCATAATACCTAAATTTGAAAACTACTGGATTATGACAAAGAGATGATTTTGAGGACTTAATGAAGAAATTACACTCAGATCTGTATTACATAGATATCAAGAGCACATAATGTACCTTCTGGCCTTAAAATTTAAGAATTCCACTAACTGTGTAGCATCACTGACTCTTTTATAAAGAAGATCAAAAGGAATGGTATATTTGCATACACATATGCATCTACAGGCATCAAATTTTATAGGTATTGTCACATGATGCACAGAGGTCACAGGTTCAATTTGCAACCAGCCAGAAAACTGTTCCTCAGAAGCATTACTTACATTTTCATAAAAGCAACCTGTGAATCACAAAGAAGTTAAACTACTGTTTATTGAATAATAGTACAGAAAACAAACCCTCTTAGATTTGACAGAAGTTTTTTCTTTTAATTTCCCATGATAATGAATGTATCAGGTTGGGTATTCTTATTTAAAGTTCTATCATCTCCAGTAGGACACTTATGGTCACGCAGAGATAAAGTTGGTTTTGTTCTGTTGAATTCTACCAGGAAGCAGTAGAGAGGACACAGATGCCTCTAATATAACAGTTCAGAAAGACAAAGGATACTTCATCTGGCTACAGTTCAACAGCAGCCCTCCATCCTTCAAAAATGCACTGAAGAAATCATCCTCACAACAGGCCAAATCAAACCAGATAGTGTCAGCCATGGCATTGTCTTCAAAGGATTTATGGATCTAGGTTGAATGTCTGATACTTGCACCATGCAAGCACATACTGTGTAATAATCAGGGATATAACAGATTCTTTTTCTATTATTTTTCAACTAAACAGAGACCAGGGCCCTCTTCTCAATTGCAGCATTCTGAGGACATTACTTACCTTCTGAGATCCTCGCAGGAAGGCCAAGATAACGCGGCACATTGGTAGAAGGACCAGGCAGCAGTTGAGATTGAGGACAGATGCTGAAGCTCTGCTAACACACAATCCTAGCTGAACAAATATTGCAAGAGTTAGATTACAGGGAGAAAGGAATAGCACGTGTCAGTATTCAATCTCTTTTTCTTTGCAGTGAAACCAAACAGCTCCCATGCTCTCTGACTCATCGGAATAGTGGAGTTTCATTATGTTTTATTGTACTGGAAAAACCACCGTACGTACAACATGCTATCCTGTTCTCAAAGAGGAGAAAACAGCTCTCACCTTTGCATCAAAAAGCTACTAAAAAATAATTTTGTCAACAATAAAGTCATCAAATGACAGCTTTCTAATGAAAGAGCCAATATCCCCATCAGTGCTCAAAGTCACAGGTAACAAAAATATCTGAGACAACAATAAGCATCCACTGAGAAATCATCTGAAAGCTTCAACAAACATAATTAAATAAAAAAGATCAATAAATACTATGAAGACACTAGAGAACCACTTAAGTTTAATGATTTTTCTGGTAAACAAGCCACAAAAATATGTAAAAAAAAATCAATTTGGTCAAATCAAAATTATCATATTGTTTCAAGGACTGTTACGGAATTGTCACAAAACTCCTCATCCATTCACATTATGCAATGCCATATTTGGACCTAAAGAAAGTGAGTTTTCTTCAGTTTAGCTACTCAATAGCTGGTAACTGTAATGAAATCTAATTTCACTAATGCTTTCACTGATATATTTGGAACTTACATAATTAGAACAAAAACACTTGTCAAATAAATGAACAAAGCACACATTCATGTCATAACCCTGTATTTTTAATCTTATTATATTATCTCATTCATTTATGATTTAAAAAGCTAGTAAAATGCCATTGTTCTAGTTATTAGGTTGAATTACCATTTTACTAGCTTATATAAAAAATGCTTTTAGACTGTCAACAGATTTCTGGAAGGATATTTCTTACAATGTTCTCAAAACCCCAAGTTTTTTAACTGCTGAAGAAATTAATAAATTAAAGTATTATAATATTAAAGATAACTCAAATGCTGCAGTAGTATGTGAATGAATTGAACAGGTATAAATTAGCTAATAAAAATTACTAAAGATTAACTATTTTTTCAAAATGAAATTTTATGTCAAAAAATGAGCATTTGTTATTTTCTCAGTCAAAAAAATTAATCCATGAAACATTTATTATGTTCAGATCTTTGTTATCGAGAAGAAACAAAATTGGAAAGAAACAAAGAGGTTTTATTTATTTGGAAATACATTTTTTAAAAACATTATTAGAAAACTCTTGTAATTTCAAAATTTGTAATTATTGTTTTGTTTTTTACAGACTTACATACATGTCACAGAAATGGATCAATATATAAGCTAGTAAAAGTAAATAAGATAACTGCACTTCTGAATACCTTCCACAGAACAAATCAGTCATAAGGGCACCTTCTCTCACAGCTGCCTGTGAGAAGTAGAAGCAATTACCCCACAAAATGTGCTCCACTTTGTTCTCTCCCATGTAAATGTGGGTCCCCCAGCAAAAAAATTCCAGAAACATATTCTCTCTAACCTACAGAATGATAGCAAATAAAACTAAAATGAGCCATGTCACTTAAAGTTTTTCCCACTCTCCAGATGTCCTCTACTATTTCTTCTAATGTATTGTTAGTCCTTTTTTCCTTACATAAGACTTCCCTTTCTTCTATTTCATCTTTTACTTCACTCTCTGTTCACATGCACAATCAGAAATTATTCTTGCTACATTTTCCTCACAAGCCATGTTCTTCAGATTTTTGATCATCCTCTCCTCCCTGCTCTGGACTCTCCCAAATGGTCCAGACCCCAAGTGTATTGACTAAAACTGAGTACCAGCTACAATGGCCACAATCTCAGTAACTGAGCTGAGGTTTTACCAAGTGCTGATGTCACTTTCCACTTCAAAGTGTGATAAAAAAAAAAAAAAGAATAACCACAAAAAATATATTTGTCTATCCTTGCCCACTAAAGTAGCTTCAAGTGACTTGTAAATATTTTTATTTATATATATAGATTATATAAATTGTATATTTTCATATTTTTTTATTTATATATATTTATACTTCTGCGAGATAAAATGGCAGTACCCTTGAAATGACTGGAGTTAATGGCAAGTAAAATGTCTCTATAATGTGTTGTTTGAATATACAAGACTGTCTCTATCTTCATTAAATCCTCTAAAGGGAAGCTAAGAATGAGCTATAGACTTCATGAAAACAATAACTTTAAAAACATGGTCATTAAAAACTTAAGCATTTTTATTAGAGCTTGCTTATTTGCTACAGTATCTCAGTGATTACATGAGCATGATTTGAAAAACACAAGAATTATGTAGAACTAATGTTGTGCAAATGCAAGCAATAAACAGAATAATTTTTGTAGCTCTTGACTAACACCCAAAAGCTGAAAAAAGGTAAAACAGTTAAAAAATTTTAATAATTTCTCTTGTATGACCTATGTGATACATCATTTGTTTCTCAGGAATTTATGTTGTCTGAGTTTAAACAAACTAGGCATGACATCAGTTATCCAAGATTCCCTTTATCAGGCACCACAATTCTTCTTACAAAACCTCAACAAAACAGTCTAGTTTGGAATAGTCTAGAATCGAGACTGTATAATGTTTAATAAATAATTCCTGTGTGAGTTCAAGAAGCTCTTGGACAACACTCTCAGGTACATGGTCCGACTCTTGGGGTACCTTGTGCAAGGCAAAGAGTTGGACTCAAACTTAATGAGTCCCTTCCAACTCAGTATTCTAGGATTCTACGATTCTAAGTAAAATACCAAACAATTTAACTGGTACAAAAAATATGAATCAGCAATGATGTGTACAAAAAGCTACCCTATTAACCTTTTTTTTTTTCCACTATTTAACAAATAGCAAATATTCATTCACAATGCAATTACTATGGAAAAATGCCCTCACATTAATCCTAATTCACTGCTATTGGCACCTGTACAAAGGAGGAAAAAAAAAAAGAGCAAGAACAGCAAACGACTTCAAACATGCAGTGCACTTTTAGGAAAGTGTGATTCAATAGTTGTTACCAAAGAATAATGTAAGGTTTTATTCTGAACAAATAAAGTTGGGCAATGTTTGCTGCAACAAGCCCATGACCAATTTGAAAACAATAGTATTCTAAGCATTTAGCAATGCTTAGAATCAAAATTCATGCAAAACCAAGAAGAAAAACAGAGTACTAAGTTTGCTCTTAATATATATATATGCAAAAGCTAAAAATATTACCATGAAACTAATTCTTTCCAAATGGTTTCCAAGTGATCTCTTTCTTAACTTCCTTTGCATTGCCTGGGTGGCATAGTAACAAATTAACATAGTACATTGTTGGATTTTTAAACAATAGTAGAATAAAGGATGATTTTTGCTCTGAGGCAACTCACTGGTCTAGAAGAGAATATATATCTTAATTAAGTAGCTTAGAAATAAGAGAAATATAATTCTCTTTTCTTCCTAAAGTTTTTATTGGCTAAAGAAAAAGAAAAAAAAATTGTTATTTCATGTTACTAGCATATGAAATTTCTGTAAGATCAAAAAGACAAAGAAACACTCCCAAAAATCTCTACTGGACACTGTTTTATCCAGCTTTATGGATACTGAATTTAAGCATTTGATCACTTCCTTTTCTACTCTGACTACCCACTACCACGTAGTTATCCCATTTCACAGAGGGGCAAGGAGGCATAGAAAAACTGAAAGATTACTTGAATTCACAGAGGATTTACTCTTTGGCAAGAATAGTAGGGAACTGGACCATCCACAAACTCAAATCCTAAAAGCTAGGCTAGACTTTTCCTCCAGACAACTATAAAGCAATCACCACCTTCTCCAAAGTAGCAGAACAGGGCTCCAGTATGTAAGTTCTCCAGCTATCCCTGTCTGACGCACAGTCCCATAGAAATCCAGATGCATTCCTGGCTACGTTTGCACAACATATAAAATAGGACAAAGAAGCAAACAGTCAGATCTCTTTGGATTTTCTGTATGCTGCTGCCATCAAAGTAGGGGAAATGAGCTTTTCCTGTTAGTTAGGCAAATTATTTCAGTATTAGGTTGAGGGGTACAGTAACTTACTGTGTACCACAGAATACCCCGAAGTTTGTCAGTTACAAACGCGGAGTTGAACCTGACCTGCAACTGCTGTGCACAGAAATCTAATGTTCAATACATAGTTGCAAAACATACAGGGCAGTGGAACACACGAAGACTTCAACGAATCTGTCCTATCTCACTTCTTAAGCCAATCTTGTATCAAAAAAATGGTAGAATGGTACTGCAAATCCTTCCACACCTAAAAGTGATGTGATTCTGTTTTTCAAGATTTCACTACCTACAAGCAACAACCCTAAACAGGTCATGGTGCAGTAGAGACACCACACTTGGTGGTCTCTCTGGAAGCCTTTGTTTGAAATTTTTAAATCTTTTATGGTTCAGGGCAACTTGAAAGGTTCTGAGAAGATGCATAAGTCACATGCTGGTCTCTAGACACAGGTCACAGACCATCTCCCCAGATGGAGCAGCTAAAAATAGTTATTGTCTTCAGTGGGACAAACTGTGCTATACAACGTCCCTCCTTTTGACCCAACTTCCTTTTCTTCATAAAGTACTCCTTGTCTTAAAGTAACAGAGCACTGATAATCTAAGATGAAGGACAGAACTCAATTGCATGCATAGCAATTATTCCCCTTAGGCCTGTCAAATCTGGCTGGAGATCTAGCAACAAAACCACGAAGCAGTTGAAAGGAAGGAAAATGCAAAGGTAGTGGAAACCTACTAGAACATGAGAAAACTTCTACAAAGTTTGACTTCGTTTTGTTCCTGAAGATGGAAGGTTTCAAGGAAGGACTCTGTAAATCACAATCTCATGTACTGCAACCCTCTAAAAATTATTTAAAGACTAAGTGGTGCAATATTTTTTAATCACATTTGAAAAAAGAATTAAAAAAAAAAAACCATCTGCAATTCTCTACACAAAGAATTTAACAGCAGCCCAATTCTCCAT